AAACATTTATATATATTTTTTTCCAGAGCAATCATTTTTGAGGCCTTCACCAGATTTCAAAAATCCAGCAAAAAATTCTGAGAAAAATTGTTTGCTTACAAATCAGACAGTACAATTGTAAGAAAAAAATATTTTATACAACAGCAATATCTAGCCTATGAAATAATGTAGAACAGAGCACTAGAGTGAATATTCATAATAGAAATGTCCTTGACTTTGGTTTGAACTTTGAACTCAAGCTTGGAAAAGACCATTGTTTCTCTGATTGTGGGAGCTCTGTAATGGCTGGAATCATAATTAAATTGAGGTTGTTTAAGGCATGACCCGTCATCCTCGCCATCTCCCCATAACTTTCGAAAATAGTCCACCTACCTCAAAGAACTCATCATAGTGTTCCTGCATCTCCACATCACTGACAGCATCTGATAAAAGAGAGAAGACACATGCCACATCACGAGTAGACACGCCCCTTATTGCTGATTGGCTACAAGTTTGTTTTGCGATTCGGCCTGAATCAGTTTTCTAAAGTGTTTTTGAAAAATCACACACCCTGCCTTTAAGGTCGTACGTGTGTTCAGAGCTCACAGTCTATGGTTCAGAGAGTGACAGCTAGTGGATAACAGATGTAAGTGTTCTCAAGATAGCTACGTGAATTAACGCGTTTACCAAGCTCTTCATCACAGAAGTTAAATAAGCTAGCCCAATTTGGTTAAAAACTTGCGATTCTTGATCTATCATCTTCTGTGGTATTTTTATCACCTTGGAATGGCTGAGAGGAAATGATCAAAATCAAAATTTAAACCCATCACTTAACAAGGACACTGACAATGATTACAGTCAGTGTAGTACTGAAGGGGAAGATCTGTAAATGTTGATACTGGATGAGAAGGAATTTCCAGCATTACAGTGACCCCGAGTGATCACCTGCGGCGAAAAAGAAAACAAGTCCGTAAGACTGCGTATCGTTGCTCTTTTGTTGATTTTGATTGCTTAACTGATAGGGGTGTAACGATTCACTCGTTTTCTCGATGCATGGATTACAAACCCTGACGATGCAATGCATCGATCTTGAAACATGGATTTTTTAATCGTGAATTGTCGATTTCGGACAATATCGATTTAAAACGCTAAGAATCGAATGAATCGCGATTTCTATAGCGATTCAATGCTTTCAAAATATATACACATTAAATTACTACAAGCAGGAATTAATGGAGACCTTGAACAGTATTCGTGCCCTCGCATCTCTCCTTCACATGCTCCACTATTTACCGCCTGTGACAGGATTGCGCTCGCGCTCCGTTCGTCTCACTGACACATTTTTTGAGCAGCTGATGTGTGATCACTCCTTAGTACAAATGTACGAAGGAAACTGTTAAAATAACCACAGCATTAACAACAACCTTGAAATAAGTGCACAAGGTTTATCAGATGCGTGAAAGTAGCGTTTGTTGCTATAGCAAACAGACATCAGCGGTCTTTCAGAATCATCATTCGCTGATAGAGAGGAAAAGTTAAATGATGCAGTGCTAATTGACATATAATTTATTACAGTAGCCTACAGAAACTATAAAGTATATATATTTTTGTAGTATATAAAACAATCATAAAATTGCCATTAGGAAAAAATGATAGATTACAAATGATTGATTATTGTCCAGCAGTGTATTTGACTAGTCAAATACACTGAAATACATTGTAGAAGACTAGCGTACCTAACTAGTCTTCTACCACGCTACAATCCATCACGCTCCCTAAGGTCGCAAAACTCTGGACTTTTGGTAGTACCTAGGATAGCAAAGTCCACTAAAGGAGGTAGAGCTTTTTCGCATTTGGCTCCCAAACTCTGGAATAACCTTCCTGATAATGTTCGGGGTTCAGACACACTCTCTCTGTTTAAATCTAAATTAAAGACACATCTCTTTGGCCAAACATTCAAATAATGCATCTCATAATCTTATACTGCAGTTATATCTGATCAAATGCACATTATTATTCTTTAGTTTGGGTTAAACAAATCAATTTTGATTGGTTGGAACAGCAGCTACGCTAATTATGTCATTATTTGTTTCTCTGTTTTTGCCACGGGATGTACATCCCGTGGTAACTAGGATTTACACAAGCTTCAGTCTGGATCCAGAACACCCGAGAAGAGATGATGCCAACCCCTCAGAGGACCTCAGATGATGCCAACCCTGAAACAACATACAGAACTACCACATTTTGCTATAAGTTTGATTGCATCAAATAATAATTGCTGTTAATAGTGTTCATCGTCTGTTTGATTACGTCTTTAATTGATTTTTCCGTACATTTCTGCCATATGTACATAAACATATGTCACCACTGATAAGCTACTACTAAATATTGTAGAAACTTAATTTGCTGTAAAGTTGCTTTGCAATGATTTGTATCGTGAAAAGCGCTGTACAAATAAAATAAAATTGAATTGAATTGAACAGATAGATAGATAGATAGATAGATAGATAGTGTCTAAACATAATACAAATAACATCTGACAAGCAGCAAATCTGGTTAGAAGTTTTTTCTCTCTATTTCTATTAAGTATGTGTGCTGTGTAAAGAGGAAAGCTGATTTAAACAAATAGCTTCTCTGTTATTATGATCTCCATTGTGCTGAATTCAGATAGATCAGTCTTTAAGTGATGCGTCTGTGATGTTTTTGGCAGATACATCAAAGGCTGTTTCCAGGTTGTTTAGAGGACAGATGTGAATGGGCTGAATCCTGCACAGGCAGGAAATCAGAGACAGGGTAAAATAAACAGACCAACACAGCTTGACCTTTCCTAAAACCCACCTGACCTCTCCTGACCCTTCCTCCTCTCTTATCTCTTATCTCCCCCTTATTCTGACACTGAGGGTGGAAGACAAGTCGTCTATCTCCTTTCTTTTCTCTCTGTCCTTCTTTCTCACACACACAGGCAGACACACAGATCAATCACTGCTCTGGCTTTGGCAGATGCAGTCAGTGAGAAGGCTGGAGTCTTGCTATCAGAAAGCAAGGAGCATGTTAGCGTCCAGTAATAAGAGGTAGAAAGAACAGAAACTGTCTATTGATCGGATCAGATGTGATCAACAGACAACATTCATGATATTAAAGAAGTGAGAGAAAATGTTAGTGTGCTGATAGATGCAACACAGAAAAAACTGGGAGATGAGAGAGACTGGAAAAACGAAGGGAGGAGGAAAGAGAACAAAGGATAAAGGCCAAAGCGTAAGGGATAAGAATGAGTGAAGATAACAAAAGTGATTTAGGAACACGGGAATAAAATAAAAGGGGGGAGTAGGAGGAAGGATTGGAGAGAGTGCAGGCAGAAGGACGTGTATGTAATAGGAGAAGAGAAAAGGGGGATACTGAGGCACTGCAAGCTGTCATCCAGTTGGAGAGGGTCAAAGGTGAAAAGTATCATATAGGACACATGCATACGCTCATACACTACGTCTCACTGACACATTTTTTGAGCAGCTGATGTGTGATCTCTCCTTAGTACTCGTGGCCAGTAATGCTAAAGTGAAGTAGTCTGTAGTTTTTGTAGTTTTTCAATGGCTCTCGGTCATACCGACGACATCACCTGAGCAGTCGAAGGCTGCGCATGGACGGAGATTGCGCTCGTGCTCAGTTCGTCTCACTGACACATTTTTTGAGCAGCTGATGTGTTAAACTGTTAAAATAACCACAGCATTAACAACAACCTTGAAATAAGTGCACAAGGTTTATCAGATGCGTGAAAGTAGCGTTTGTTGCTATAGCAAACAGACATCAGCGGTCTTTCAGAATCATCATTCGCTGATAGAGAGGAAAAGTTAAATACTATAGCATTTTATTTTATGAAAATGAGATAAAGAAGTTTTCGCACTGAAAGAAGTGATATCGCGCTCATAGACGTGCCAGGCTATCTGCAGCTAAACTGTATAAAAATCAGAATGAACTGAAACGTTAAGACAATAAATACAATTTATGAATGATGCAGTGCTAATTGACATATAATTTATTACAGTAGCCTACAGAAACTATAAAGTATATATATTTTTGTAGTATATAAAACAATCACAACATTGCCATTAGGAAAAAA